AATATATATATATATATATATATATATATATATATATTATAATTGCTTACAACAAGAGTAATTAAATTTATGGTCTGTTAATATTAGTAAACTTTCCTGAATAATTAACTCATTAAATTAAATGTAAAAAATGGTAAATATTCCATCTCTTGTATTTAATCATTATTCTACTTATATTCTTTTTGATCACTTCTTTCTGCTCATATGTTTTTAAGGATATCTTTCTATGCATTTAACTTGTGCAGTGATGACTAAAGAAAGGAGGCAGTGAAATTGATAGAACCTAAATTGTATGGCAAGAATGATATACTTATAATATGAGAAGTAACCAGTACATCAGTATTGGCAAGACATATTTTACATACTTTAATGCAAACATATGTAATTAATTTGTTCAAAATTTGAGTCACAAGTGTGAAATGATTAGGTGTCTTTATGAAGCAGTTATTCACACCAGCAAATGGGGGTTTTAAGTTAACAGTTTGCTTGCATACAAATATGTAATTAATTTGTTCACAATTTGAGACAAGTGTGAAATGATTAGGTGTCTTTATGAAGCAGTTATTCACACCAGCAAATGGGGTTTTAAGTTAACAGTTTGCTTGCATACAAATATGTAATTAATTTGTTCATAATTTGAGACACAAGTGTGAAATGATTAGGTGTCTTTATGAAGCAGTTATTCATACCAGCAAATGGAGGTTTTAAGTTAACAGTTTGCTTGCATACAAATATGTAATTAATTTGTTCACAATTTGAAACACAAGTGTGAAATGATTAGGTGCCTTTATGAAGCAGTTATTCACACCAGCAAATGAGGGGTTTTAAGTTAACAGTTTGCTTGCATACAAATATGTTTTAAATTCTTTCATTTTTTTTACTTTAAAGTTTTTAAGTCTTTGGCAACCTTGGTATCACATCCTATTAATGAGTAACACACACTATACATAGGCAATTATTGTAAGTTTTAATTTTGTTACATCAGTAATCGCAGCAATATTTTTCAAGGAACATGAAGTATATAAGCAGTGTGTACTCGACCAATGTTAACAGCCAAAACAGTTTATGTTGGCCTATCTTAAAGAGACCCTTGTCACTTATTCTTAAAAATATTTTGATGTTTTTCATTATTTCAAGGAGTTTTAGCCATCACATAAAATGAGTGAAAGCATTGTTGCTTTCATCACCAATCACTAATTTTTAGTGTGTCACACAGGGCCTATTTTAATGTAAACTAATTCACTTCCTAAAATGGTGAAACTACTTTTATAAAAACATTGTGTGACCTCTGAAAATATTCACTTGATGCCTATTAAAATTATACACTTTTACTAGCTTCTCTTAGAACAATCATATATATATACAAGTTAGCAGTTTGATGCACTTCTGAGGTTTAAAGAACATAGCCTTCTGTTCTGTAAACAAAATGTGTGTAATGATTTAAGCCTACCACAACAAAGGTTTATAAACATAAGAAAATAAACTATAAAATATGTTAATCATAACAGATCAAAGTTTTAAGTGTTTTTATATTATTAAAATCAAAATTGTAAAGTTGATTTAATAAAAGAAATTGGAAAAGTAAGAAAGCTATCTAGGTTTGAAACTGCCCAACAAAGTTGTCTGAAGCCATTTGTCAAGTATCAACAACAATGAAGTTCTTAATGTGAAAATATTGAAGTCTAACCTGGTAGATGTTTAATGCCTGTCTGTAATTATTTATTATAAGACTAATGTACTTTTGTGCAATTACATAACTGAAGTCTTTATTTATTTTTTAGAAGCAAAGTTACGTAGGAATGTTATATTAAGAATTACAAACAAGATTGTTATCTAAATTGTGTTTTTTTTGTAGATTATTATATTACTTCGAAAGCACCAAATAAATTTCCTAACATTGAGAAATTTATAATTTTGATTTAATAACGCAGGAAAAGCTGAAAAATACCAACTTTTGGTTTCTGTATTGTTTGTGTCTATATCATAAGACTATTCTATAATAATCACCATTGTATGGGATCTGTTGCTCATGTGCTAATAATTTTGAAAACACACAATTGTATATCATCAGCAAGGTCTATATTAAACATCAGGTTTTGGTTATTTTGCTCACGGTGTCAAGAATGTTGTGAAATGTGATACTTTCTATTATGCAAGTAAAACACCAGCTGCTTGTAAGAAAGTTGTGTTTTTATGTGTTTGCACTATTGATATTTTAATTAACCATTTTTTGGGGTTACTGATCTAAAGGCTTTCATTTAAGGCAGAAATGGGGACAAAAAACATTCTAATAATTATTTTCAAGTAATGAAAAATTTAAGTTGTCTTAAGAAGATTTTAGGCACCCCATTATTCAAAAATATGATATTTTTCTATGGACTGTCTAGGTAAATTAAGTTTAAGTATGTTTTTACAGTAACAAAAAATAAGAAGTGTAAGATGCATTACTTTAACATAACTCTTTGCATCTTTATTAAACTTGTTCTTCAAATGATATTGTATGTGGAGTTTCGGGTTTAATGGACTGCTCCTGTCTGTTTCTATAGTGAAATGACATTTTGGCTCTCTAATGAGGTCTTCTTCAGACTTTGATCTGCAGGAGGCCTTAGTATAGAAGCTAAAATGTTCTCCCCTTATAAAAAACAGGCAGGAGTTGCTCATTAAAGTCATAGCTCTACTATGTCTACACTGCCTAAAATAACCTTGAAACAACATTCTAGGTAGTTATATCTGTCTATTAGAAAGCATTGACATGTTTATGGAAAAGCTTTTCAGTTGTTGGTGGAGCTTGAGAGATCAACACCATGTTATATACAAGCATTATAAATGCAAAAATAAATAAATGCTCTATGTCTTGTCAAATCTGAGTACAGTGTGATTTCAAAGATACATAAACATATACAATACGTACATTTTGTATTGGCATGTGTGCAGTGATGGTGATAAATTTGGTAAATGTTTAAACTTAATACAAAGTATAAATGGTCAAAATGTGATTAAGTATCACAATAAACCCTGTTTTTTAAACAAAGAATTATTAACAAGAAATAAGGTTCCTAGTCAGCAGGGTATTTTATCAACACTTCTTTTTTACATAAATTATTGAGTTTCAACAGATCTTTTTTCCTTATTGTCTTTGCTACTTTGGTTCAGCCAAGTTAATGGGTTCTGTAGAGAACCTTGTTGAGAGTGGTATATATACACCTGGAAAAAAGTTAAGCACCCCCGTGTTTTTTTCAAGTGATTCAGATTCGACGTTCTTGTGACTGATTATAAATTACCATTCAATCTAAACGTGTTTATCAAATGAAATTATGCATTATTGGGCACAAGAAAACAAGATTATCACTGTAAGATAACAATTTTTAATTTACATATCATGACATCAAAATATGGACAGTTTTCACGCTTAAAATTATCTTTAATAAGTATTGTCAGTGAAAGCTCAAAAACGTTATTGAATTGTCAAATCACATTACAAAATGTCAATTATGACCCACACATTACAAATCACATTACAAAATGTCAATTATGACCCACACTTGATAATTAGTCATCGAAAAGTCAATATCGGG